TACATACTGATCGTCCAAATTTGCTCCGCTCAGATTAACTGACTTCCTTCCACCAATAGTCGGTTTGCTTTTAGACCTTCCAAGGTCCGCTTCAACACCCAAGCGCTGAGCTTCAAGGTTCATTGTGTCGCGATTTGGAAGGGAATACGTCGGCACGTTTACAGTCGGTTGGGTAATTTCATTACTATAGGTGTTAGACATTGAGATTCCTGGTCTATCTATATCCAGCTCCGGACGTGTCAGATCGGCTGATGTTTCCCATTGGGATTTTGCCAGAACGGGGGGAGACTTAATCCTGTTGGAACGTTGACTTCGCCGAGTGCTGGACCGAACCAAAAGGGGGGCGGCCTTCTTTCTCATGGAGCTTTGTCTTGACTCTTGTACACGCATGAATCCAGGTTGAATCTCCTCTTGGGGATAGTTGACATCATCTTCCTCACCAAACACATCTTTGAATTCAATACTAGTAAAATCTGCATCCCCATCCATTGAGATAGCGCCGACTTCTTCCAATTTCACCAAGTGTGGAACGTGACAAACTCTTTGATTGTTCAATTTTATCTGGATAGAAGAAGGACAAGGGAAAGTGGTGCCTTATTAGTAAGGATTTCTAAAATCAAAGGGACAGAATTGAAGAAACTTGTTTTGTCAATTGGATTGATGACAGTTCAAATGGAGTTGCAGTTTCGCCTTATGGATATACGTGAGCCATCCAGGGAAACTTCATTCTAACCGAGTTTATTGCAGACAGAAGCCAATACGGCGATACTGCTAGGGGGTGAAAGTTAACGTCAGTCGATCAGCAACACTAAACACGAATTAAGTGAAAAATTGGGGTATATTATTAAGCAAATTACGTGCAAGAGTGAGAACTTAATTCCCTTACGTGAAAATAGAGTTTCCCGACTCATCATCAATGCAGTTGATCTATCGCGTCACTTTCTGTGACGTTCGATTGCCATAGATGAACAATAACATAATTATGTTAAAAATAAGCAATGGTTAAATGACAGTGTTTCATACTATTATTGCCAGTTCAATAAAATGATGGCGTGTGATATCGCTAAATATCAAGTTCTGATTAGAAAACCTCGATGATAACACGTGGTTCAGCTCAAATATGAATATTGTGAATACAAGAAAAAAACAATTTCTTGCTAGAAAACGGTCTATTTAATCCACTGATTTCATGGATTTATTGACTACTGCTTGTAGATCAATTTTATGGATAGATTGATTTATAAGGTTTTTTGATAAACCGCGCACGTAATACACTATCCCACTCTTTTCTGTGTTCGTTTTGCTTCCTTAGTGAGCTGGTTCTCGACTTGAAGTTGTTCTATTCAGTTTATCATTGTGTGCACAACAACCGACGACTGAAATGGGGTGAGAACCCAAGGGGAAAAATCAATTGGACTGATTATCCACTTTGTGGATTGTTAAGGAAAACTGACACAAAAGTTCTGCAGATAAAAATGTACTTTAAGAATAGTTTTCATCGATACCATCATCCAACCGTCTGAGATTGATTTCACGGAATACTGTCTATGCATGCCATCGTCATTTTCAGGCCAAAAATCATCACTGGGTGAATAACACACAAAATGAATAAAAAATGCATTTCATAAAATACGCGATGAATTTAACATTGATTTGTTGTTTTACATACGCTAACCCAGTGAAGACTAGTGTAATTTGCGCTGACACTGAAAATATTATCTCGAAAAGATCCTGTACTCTGTGTACCCATAAAATTCCATAAAATCTGGTGGACGAACGATAGCTAGATGGAATAGGAGAAATCCCTATGTTTTACCAATAAAATTTATCCTTGCACATGAATGCATGCGCAGGTGTCACTCTGATCTAGAGAGTTAGCAATGTTTTTGTGTTTGTCATTTACCTACTTATAATATTCCAGTAGTTAAATTATTCCCATGGATATGGCTTGGAATGCAGATTCGAAGGATACGCATCAGTAGTACTGAGGGACAACTGAGGTTAATAAATCGGTAGCAGAGGATTATCTAGTCCATCAGAACGATCAAATTAACTCGGAATCATATAAGTCTTGACTGGTCTTCATATTAGAGCAGATTAATTCGGTCAACAAGATACATGGAGCCTTGATAAACGAATCGAGTTAGGAAAACTGCATTCGCTCTAAAATAAAATAAAACAAAAGGAATTGCTTTTCAAGACAACTTTGTTACGTCATTTGTGAAACCATTATTTCTCCGCCACTCAGTCACTATTGAGGCATCCAAATAACAATAATAAAACTATTAATAGTAACAATGATAGATGACAAATAATAATAATGAACTTAAACAGAGAAGTCAGAAACATGGGTTTACACAATGTATCCATGGTCATTTCGCTGCATCTGTACACGTGCATACTGCAGTCAAAGTGATTATTTTATAGTCAGTGAGATAATAAATGTGAGACAAAGATAGGATCGCCAATCACAACGGAAAACACAACACAATAACACAAAACAGGGGAACGAGAGAGGGTAGGGGGTCAATCACTAGGGCAAAGCTAATGTGACTAACCATTCACGTTATTTGCATAGATCGTGTTTGAGAGTATGAATGCTTAGAGCCTCGGAAAATTTCAGTAATTTTGTGTCTGCTGTGTTGTAGATGACCAGGAATGCATGTACAGATGCAGCGAAATGACCATGGATAAGTTGTGCAAACCCATGTTTCTGACTTCTCTGTTCAAATAATAACAAAGTCCGTGATCAGATATTTTCTTATAACTTTTACTGCCTCTATCAGCTGTAAATGTAGGACTGGAAAGAAGATTGGTCTACATTTATTGTACCACCTTACCAACTCTTTTGCCCTCCCTTTATCAGATCATCGGTGTTTCAGACGTATTAGATTATTTTCTCATGCAATTTTAGTATTACTTTACNTTACCTTTTATAGTGTGTACGTGATTTTCAATAACGTCGGATGTAACTTTATACAGGGATTGTCCTCGAGAAAACTTTTACAATGAAAACACATTCAAGTAATGATTCATTCATGAGCACCGCATAAGTAAGAGCTCAAAAACACCCCGCGAAAAACAAATGCGATGTTGATGTCTAACTCTTGACCTTATTGAAGCAGTTTTGGTTTACTTTGCAGGATCGTTACCATAGTGAACAATTTCAGTGAGTAAGAATCAATACCCCAAGCGTTTCGTAGAACCACTAAACTCCCGAACTGTACAGGTATTGATCGAACTCGTGTGACATCATAACTTTCACCATATTTCTTCCTCCCGAAACCCAGCACTTTGAGTCTCGTTACCGGAATAGAACGTTGTATTAATCCATATATAACGCAACATATCTGCCGCAATATCCACTTATTTTGCTGTATCTATGTTAAATACCATTTAGAAGTACAAACTCTCGATTTTGGCTCGTCGGTTATAGGATAACAAAACCTCGCTAAAAAAATAGTAAGACCCCATAAAAGTGACTCCCAAACATAAAACAGATTTGACACTGTGGCTTTGTCAACACCCTTTGTGACCCCCCTCCGTATTTTTGAGCACTTGGGTCGGACGATTTTGTATGAAGTCCACCAAATTGACAAACAAATTGCATTTATCAGTTTCCATCAGAAAATACCGTGCTCCTGTCTCTTTCTGTCACCCACGAGATAGCCAAGTTATCTGTCTTTATTTAGGATAAATCTTTTTCGACCATATCTGGATCCAGGCTGTAGTGTAGTAACATAACTAATTCAAATTTTGAAAACGCCTGTTCAAAGACTGTATAAATGTGAAAAAACATTATGTAACGAGGTCCACGAAATTTACCTGGTGAACCTCGCGTGAGATCTGATATTGAGCTTAATCTAGTAAAATTAGGACTTTTTCGAAGGAATTTTGAGCACATAGTAAGTCACCAAAAACTCGCTTGAACAATAGAACCAATTTTGTACTATCCAGAGATGCCAATACCAATATATCTTAATATGAATAACCACTCAAGTCGTCATACGGGTTAAATATTTAAATTTTATGACCCGCGAAATGTATCTGGTAAACCAACTAAAAAGTCCACCTTTCCCAATGTGATAACATGCTCGTCAACTGGTGCACATTCAGCACCGAGATAAACCTAATGCCAAGTTTCATCGTGCTATTCAAATTGAGCCAACGCAAACAGTGATACAAGAGAATTAATCAGTCTGCAATGGGAGGTAGATTTCGAACTAAATACTCTTCACCAACAGCTATTAATATTCATGTATGATATTGAAAGCTAAGATTTATTTCTAACTTGTTTTTATTACACAGCAGACGGGGTAAACCCAATAGTCACGAAGATTTACTATTCATTGGTGGAAACCGGCAACCTAAGCCCCGGAACTTGGAGTGGTGAATCACATAAGGCCCCGATAGGTTAGGCGTTGGGTTGAACCGGACGAAAGCAGAGCTGACTACCGCCACTTGAGGATCACGTCGCACGAATTCAAAGACTGTGCATAGCATATATACTAAGATACATATTTATTTGGAGATAAAATTATATTTAAAAGAAGTAGGGTGGTGGTAGTGGTGATGAAATTCAAACCCAGTTTCTCTGAACTGCTGTGGCTATAGCACCCACCATTTGACCACCATCTATACCACCTTTCTTTCGGTAGCTTTATCTCATTATCTACGGACTGTAAAATGAATAAAATCTCTAAAAAGTCAGTCGATTACTCGTAGTTATTTGAACACCGAAAAATTCTTTCCTAGAGTAAATGAATTGCTAATCGAATTTCTGATCAGTTGGAATTATCACGCAGTACAAGTCGGCACTGCGTTTCAGTTGTCAAGGCTGTCTTTACAAGGAGAATACTTCTGTTAGAGTAGTGCAAATCTAGGTGGAAAATACACACATTGTGAAAGCTTAACTCACGTCGTAACCCTCTTCCAATGCGTAGATGCACAATTCGAAAGCCAGATTGTCTTGTATACCGTTTTTGACGAAATGTTCCTGTTTTTGTACTTTGGCCCGATTCTGAGACATCACTTGTACCGGGCCGCCAGCATTTAGAATGATACGTAATGGCAACACGCCTGTGTTACTTGCAGCTTCGTTTGCATCAGTCAATAATTCCACAATAACCCTATTTGAGACACAAACGGGAAGTTAGGGAGGGGGGG